AAACCTGTTGTTGATGAGAAAGCACCTCTGTTGCCCACTAAACAAGAGTGTTCCGCGTTTGATGAGTTTGATGGGGCTTCGTTTACGGGGGCGGTGTTTAATTTGTCTACCACAATCGTTGGTGCCGGAATTATGGCCTTGCCTGCGACTATGAAAGCGTTGGGCCTTGTTCTTGGGATTGCTATGGTCATTTTTATGGCTTTCCTTGCAGAAGCTTCAATTGAGATGTTACTTAGATTTAGCAGAGCAGGGAAATCAACCTCTTATGGAGGTGTTATGGGGGATGCCTTTGGAAAGTGTGGTAGGATTGCTCTGCAAGTATGTGTTTTAGTCAACAACGTTGGAATGCTTATAGTGTACATGATTATTATAGGTAAGAAAGACTAAATTTCTAACATCTATATTCATTGCCATTAAGATGACTACTTGATGAAGGTTATAGTTAACATATTTATTGTATGTAATTTATGGTACGCGCAATTATGAGAACATCTCTAAGCAGTTTAGTAGTGATTTTTTTTCCACTTAAACTTGTTTTTGAAGGTGATGTGCTTTCTGGAACAACTTCAAGTGGAATTCATCATGCTGGTGTGTTGGAAGGGTGGTTTGGATCATACTGGTGGAGTGGGCGCACCTTTGTTCTTCTAGTTGTAACCCTTGCTGTGTTTGCTCCATTGGCATGCTTAAAGCGTATAGGTCAGTCCTTTTCTTTGAATTTGGACATAATTAGCAAGCTCGTAGTGGAAATAAGTTCCACTGGTATTTCTTTTACTTGTGTCTTATTCTTAATTAACCACCACAAGTTGAACTTTGGATGAAGGTGCCTCAATACGCTCAATTGTGTTTCATTTGTTCGAATTATCTTGGTGGTTTGTACTTATCTTGAATACTGTATTTTTGTCTGTCTGATCTGATGGATAGCCTGATAATTACACTCCTCTGGATTCAAAGATCTCAGCAGGTTAACTTACCCAGAAAGAGCTGAAACACTGGTTGTTATAATTACTTAAATTATAAAATAAAAAAGAAGAGGAAACTTCATTATTTTTACATTTTTATTTATTTTATTTTATTTTTATTTTTATTTTTAATTTTTTTGCATGTAATCTGAGTTTACCATCTTGATTGAGTAGTAAATTCCCTATATTTGGTCATTGGTGAATTTTGTTGCACTTTCACCTGTTGTGTTTTTTACTCTGTGATGCGGTCCTCGTATGTGTTTTTTCATGCTTGCAGATTCATTGAGTTTCACGTCTACCTTATCAGTTGTGCTGGCTCTCGTGTTCCTTGTTATTACAGTGGGAATCACCATTTTTAAGTTGACAAATGGAAGCATTTCGATGCCCAGGTTGCTTCCTGATGTTACTGGTTTGACATCATTCATTAATCTCTTCACTGTAGTCCCGGTTTTCGTCACTGCATTCATCTGCCACTACAATGGTATGCAGACTACAGACTTTTCATTCTATATGATTGCTAATATCTGAGCATATTATATTTTATTATTTGACATTAGGATTTGAATAATGAAAAATTAATGTGTTTGAAAGTGAGATTGTGGAGACTTACCATGCAAGCTGTCCAGATTTCAGTATTCAATTCCATTATATGTGGTTTAGGTTGGGATCGTGGTTGATCAACCTTAAATCGACTCAATTGTTCTCTTACGTGTCTTTATTCTGGAATGCTGGAATAATGCTTCTGATGGCTGGGTTTTTTGGGTTACTGAAATTACCTTATATCTGATTTAACTGATTTTTAATCGAGTTGTTTTGTGTGACTTCTGTATTGTTATCCAATTATAACAGAAAACTTTACTATCACAGATTGTTTGGCTATACAGAGGGTTCGCTCAAAACTTGCATTTTGAAATAATGTTTTCTTGAAAAAGTCAATTTTATCACTTTATATTGTAAGGACTGATTTTTTAAAAATAGGGTTGAGGTGCAGAGCAACTTCAGCAATTTGATCACATCCCTAAACATATTAGTTTCACATTTTAAATTGGAATTCTTAAATAATGGCTTGACCCTCTGGGAATGTGAAAATTTTGCAGTTCACTCAATAGACAATGAACTTGAGGACAATACCCAGATAAAAGCGGTTGTGAGATCCTCACTTGCTCTTTGCTCAACTGTGTACATATTGACAAGCTTATTTGGGTTCCTCCTATTTGGTGATGCAACTCTTGACGACGTGCTCGCCAACTTTGATGCTGACCTTGGCATTCCATATGGCTCTCTCCTTAATGATGTAGTTCGTATTAGCTATGCTGTCCATCTCATGCTCGTCTTTCCCATTGTTTTTTATCCATTACGGCTAAACCTGGATGGTCTCCTCTTTGGCAAGCCCTTTGACACTGGACAACTTGAGGTTTGCATCAATCAGCTTTGGGCTCATTGGTACCATCTTCTTGGGTGCAAATTTCATTCCCAGCATTTGGGATGCTTTCCAATTCACTGGAGCAACTGCTGCGGTTTGCATTGGCTTCATCTTTCCTGCTGCCATTACTCTCAAGTAAGTTACTTGCGTCCTTTTTGGAATTAACTATAAGTTCTTTATTATAGATTTTTTTTCAAGTAGGCTTTAATTGTTGGTGATAAGTAGGGCTTAAAGGGAGAAATTTGAAGTTAGCACTTTTGATGTTGCACAACATGAATGATTTATAGGCCAGGTGATAACATGTCATTTATTGACTCCGAAATTGCAACTTGGGGAGAACTCAACTTCGCCACTACCATTTGAACTAAAAACAAATTATTCCAAAAATTCAAGTACATTCTTTCCATTATCAAAGAGTTTTTTTGATAATGGCCTCTTGAACCAAGGGTGAAACACTTTTTTTCTCAAGTAGACTTTCTTGCCAAGTTTGGGTTGAAGGGCTAGTGAAGTTTGGAGGTAGGCTTTATTATTGGATACTGATGAGCAGTATCTAAGGAAAGAATGTACATATGAAAGGTTTGTTTATACTGCAAGCTAAACCTTGTTAAAGTGTTTGGCATTGAAATGATATGAGTATCAAATTCAATATCTTGCAATATTGAATTTTGTAATGATCTCAGTTGGCCTTCTTGTAGTACCTAATCTTGGCAGCTTGAGTACATCAACAGCAGTGTGAAGGCCAATTGGATTGATCTCAATCTAAGCTGCACTGTGTCTGTGGCTTGTATTCTTCGCATTTGCCCTCATCCTTGCTTTTTTTTGTTTTTTGTTTTTTGGTTTTTTGATTTTATGTTGATTAATATTCACATCTATGCCTTGACTTCCCAAAAGAAAAAAAGAAAAAGAAAATTTGCCGATGACATCTAGACTTTTCAGATGTATGAGATTCCGATTTTGCTTAATTTCCAACTTTTGTTTCATCATGCTACGATAGTTTAATGTTATTAAGCAATAAATGTTGCATGCTCTGCTTCAGGGATTGTCATGGCATAGCAACAAAGAAGGACAAGATCTTATGTGTTTTCATGATTGGCCTTGCTGTGTTTTCAAACCTGGTGGCCATATACTGTGATGCCTTTGCCTTGTTCAAGAAGAATGCATCACCACGAGAGTAAACACCCTTGTTGACGACAATCAATTAGTGGGTGTCGCATCATTTGGCGTGAAGACGCCAAGAAAGCAGGATTCCTTTAGCTAGGAAAAATCCATTTGAATTCAGTGTCACTTTGCTGGATATTCGAAGTTAAGTTGCTTTGCTTAAAGTGTATACAGGTGTGTATCGATTCTAGACTCTCTATATATCCCTCTCTTGGGCATTGTTGTATTGTGTGGTGCTTAAATAAAATTTGTTGTTGTGTGGATTGGAATGTAGTTACAGATATTCAAATGCTTATGTAGGATATGATTTGTTTCCTTATTCTGCACCTTTTTCTTGTATCTGTGTATATATTTTCTTTGTGGTGGTGTGAATGAGAAGCTGTGCTCTGGAATTCTCACCTATTAAACTTCCAAACTACCTTGTGAAATTTACCACATTAAGTGGGAAGTAATCATTAATTTAGCCTTCTATCTTTTTATAACTTTGAGCTAGCCCTAATGTTTTCTTTTTCAGAAAATATATAAACCGATAAAAAAATACCTATAAATTCACCCATAAAGTGGGTGTGTGGTAGTGTGGTGGAGATTGAACTTGATGTGTTGTGAGCCAAATCAACAATGAATCTAGTCCATACAATTTACATTCTGTGTAAATTTCCAAGTAATTTTGTAGCATTGTTTGTTATATATATATATACAAAAGGAACCCTATTTATAGATGGAGCCTTAGTGCCACACATTGATTTGTTAATGTCATGAATTGAAAAGGATACAGAATTCGAAAAATAGTCAAAAAAAAATAATAATATATGATCCAAATTTATTTAAGATGTAATTTCTATCATATAAGAATTGAATTTGAATTACACTTGTAATCATATTTCTGTACAACAATTACGTGCACATATTTTTAACTAGATGGTGTGCAAATACAAAATTTATGCAGAAAGAAATAGCCACAAAATTTTTAGACATATTCATATGTCTGAATTCATTTGAGATGTAAATTCCATTACACGAGTTGAATCAAAATCACACATTATTTTTATACATATATTTTTATGTATAAATTCTGTACACATCTTTAACAACCAAGACCTAGTGTAACGATGATCATGTTCCAGTTGTCTATAAGTTTGCTTTCAACATGCTTGAAGGCACTGAACATGGCGATGACCAGTTTTGCTCTTTTGAGATGGTAATTAGTTTACTTTTTTCGCTTAAATCTTTCAGTTCGGATTTTCTTGTAAGTACTAAAATAGGTCAGATCCGAATAAACCAGATTCAGATTCGGACGACTCTTTATCTAATTTGATGATATTATGCTAACAATAGAAATCAAAGATCCCAAAATTCACTCCTAGAACAGCAAAAAAAATTAGTTTTTTAGAGAACTAAAGAAATTAGTTAACTGCTACAAACTATTGACCATTGGTGAGTAGTAGGGGGAGAAGGAGAAAGGTGTTCCAAGTTCTAAAACTTGATTAATATAAAAACATGCCAAAACAGCCACTAGGCTATGATCTCTATTTACAAACGAGCCCCCAAACCCTAGGCATTCCATCCACCAAAATAAATGTGCAAGAAAAAAATATAAGGAAGCACCCATGTTTTAAAAATCCAGATCATATATTAGCTAATATATCAGTATCGAAAGTCTAAAATTACGCGCTGAATACAACTATGGGTTTCCAATTGTGGTCACAAAAGGCACCAACCTCCTGTAATCTCTCCTCCTCCCAAGTGCGCAGCTGTCGAGGACCCGCCCAAGGATTAGGCTGGTGTTCTGCAAAGCTAACTCTCTAGCAGACATCCCAGATTCCGTTGCACTGCCATGAACAACTGGTGCTGAACCTGGTCCGAACCCGGGTCCCATTGCAAACTGTAAGGGTCCACTCCTAGCCTTAAACGAGGTCTGAGGAACAAGAACCTTCTCATCTGTCCCACCCGGCCCATTCTCAAAGAAACCTGGATCGTGCGGGTGTGACCCGGTTATAGACCCACAGCTTTGCAAAAGGGCTTCCAAAACACTAAGTGCTTCCCAGCACAAAGTGCTCTCAACAAGCTGAGACACAATTGCATACATATGTGGGCTCTGAGCAGCATCCATGGGAGTGTGTTGGAGCAATGCCTTGAGCATGAGAAGTATCACCCGCTGATATTCGACCGGCCCTTTCTCCAGAAGTCGTAGCAAGTGCCCAAAAGCCAGTGCAGAGTGCTTCGGAAACCACTCGTTGCATAACAGAGGTGACACACATGCAAGCAAGTTGTCAATACTCTTGATTTCACCGTGAGAGTACGCCATAAAAACCGTGGCTAGTTCGTCCAGTGATTTTGCTCGACACCAAATTGAGAGGTTGGCTGCGACAGAGCAAGCTTTTTGGTGCTGCTGTTGAAGCGGTGAAGTGGGGCCCACTACTACATCGTGGCTGAGCTGCAAGCAGAGCCAGGGAAGTAATCCTGTGATGTGCATCAAGAGCCGTGTCTCTGCAACCCCAAAAATTGAATCGCAAGAGTGAACAGTGATCCGTGAGAGAACCTCAATAGAGACACCATGACTAACGGTCGACATGAGTCCTTTAAGCACAAGAGGCTGTACGCCTTCAAAGGTCGGCACCTTCCTACCGGAAGGTGATGGCTCACAGAGATTCCTCGATTCCATCCGTTGAAAATCAGCACTGTCACTGACACTCAAGTCGAGCTCATCTCGTGGCATACTAGAAAGGAGTACGTTTTCAGTTGTTCGGTCCCGGAACGATAAACGATCAATCACAAGAGAAAATAGCTCTAGCACCTGGCAGTAAACATGAACGAAGTCGGTGTGCATCATTGCTACACACCCCCAGAAAAGTTGGGGGTAGAGTATTACTTTTTCAGGCTCCATATTCTCCACCATCACTTGTAAGGTCAATAGAATTTCCATAATGAATCCCAAAACTGCAGGTACTGGATTTCCCAAACACCTGTGGAGGCAACGAAGAAGTGAAACGCATGCATCGCTTGTAACACATGGCCGCAGTGCACGGTAAATCTGGTGTGATCGGCACGCAAGGTGTCTCGAAGTGCACTCCATAGCCCATTTGAGTGCCTCAGTACCCCAAGTTTCCCGGAGGTCTCCTTGGAAAAAAATGGCATCGACCATGCTCTGAACTAGGGCAGACAAGAGCGCTGCACTTGGGAGCTCGGGTCTTACAACCGTGGGGTCCTCATTCTCCCACATCATGCTACCTCGCTTGGACTGAACATAATTGATCAGACTCACAACCTGTTGCTTGTTCTCTCCATCGCTATTTTCAACCTCATACAACTCCAAGTGCCGACCTGCAAGCGAATATAAAAGATTAACAAGCAAGTGCTGGCAGTGCTCCAGCACAATATCTTCCGAACTATCCATCGAGACAAACGTGACGTGAAACAGTAAAGGCAGGTGCTCCCGAAAATCCTCATCATTTTCATATGCAATTTCTGCAAGTAGAATCAATGCTATGTCTGCATGAGTCAGTGAGTGTTGTTGATGCCCTTGTAACGCTGATTGAAGTTCTTTAGCACTAACACCGTGCATTCCAACCCCAGAATGCAACCCATCTTCACCGGAGTTTGGAGTGTCGATGAGGTAGTCTCCACTGTCTCGAGACATATGGCGACTACGCAAGCTTCCCGTTGAACTCCGTACCCCCATTAATGGCCCTGACATGTTTACCAAAGCTGGAAGGAGCTGGCCTGACCGGCCAGCACTTACAGGAATGATGTTCAACTCGGGAGGCATTGGACTCAGTGGACCCGAAGCACTTCGGCCCCCAACACCTGCTGTTCTCCAGCTCAAACTCCCACTGTTCCTGAGTGGACCGTCAAGAGATCCCCGCACAAGTAATGGAGACATATGGGGTTGGGTGTCCACAACAGAAGCAATTTGGGTCACTGCAGGCCCCTGAGAGAATTCCAACACGAAATTTCCATCTTTATTTGCACCGGGCCTAACATGTTCCACGCTTTCCTCAAGCATCTGCTGAGCTAATTGGTAAACCAGGTGATCAATTGTACGCTGTGGGCAAATGCGAGCCAAATATAAACTGACACGTTTAGCAACTGAAAAGTATGTAGCGAATGCACCACTAATTTCAGCAGATGCATTAGAATCACAATCTTCAATCCCTTTTGTGATCAAGAAATCCAGAACTGGACTAATGTTTCTAGGTTTGCTAGCAATTGTGCTCCAAAGCTTCTCGATTTCATCGGGGAATTGGTCACCGTGTCGCCACGTTACATAATAGAGACTTTTCAATAATCTATCACTCCAACCCGAATCCTTGAGCTTCCAGAAATTGAGATTCTCAATCCAAGGAGCCATGCATGTTAGAACTTGATGCTGTGCAATTATATCAACAGCATCAAGTTGCCTCTGCATGATCTCCTCACAAAGTAGCTGGCTCAAATCAGGATGATCTTTGGCGAGCTTGCAGGAGAGTTTGTATTGGAACTGTTGGTAGGAGTCAGGGAGGTTGCCAACAACAGCGGCTCGATAACTTCCCGAGCCTTCGATACCATCCTCAGCCCATTCACGGACTGAAAGTGTTTCGAGCATCTGAAGAGCATCATCGCGTATTTGTCTAGATGGGTCCACAACCTTGTAGAGGATCAGGCTCAACAATCTCTGAATTTCACATTTCGGAATCTCTTGGCGCATGTAGACCTCAGCAAGTACACTGAAGTAGCCATCAGCTATAGCAGCATCAGAATAGTAGCACTGGAAAAGAAAATATATATATATATATTAAGTCAATTAGTCCAGCAAAAAAGTAGAGTTATTTATATTGAAATTGGAAATTAAATAGGAGACATCAATCAGAAGCAAAGTAATGTTACTTAGGTTGTCAATGCAACATAGAGAATACCAGAACGTGAAACCTGCTCAAACATGAAACAATGATGTACAACGAAAGCCACCCATCGGATCATCACTCTTAATTGGGCAATAAAATTGTTTCTCTAGTTCATTTTCACATCAAATAATCACCACAAGATTACATATAAAGATTAGAATGTGATTCACATCAATTAAATGGTTGCCTACATATCCTGATTGACATGTGGTACAAAATGAAATGCCGAAGATATACCTGATCAATGCAAGCAGGAAACAGATCCAAATTTGTAAGGAGGAGATTCTTTAAGGCCAGTTTTGCAAGGGACACGCGAAGATGGCCAGCCCTGTGCCTATCACGTCCAGTAGCTCCACGCCCACCATCTCCTGCATATTTGGAGTACGATGGTGTTCTTGGATCTGCCGGAGAATAACCAAACGGAGCCCTTGGTGCAGGCTCAATAAATAGACTATTAATCCACGATATTACTCGGCCGCTCATTTTTCTTGCATTGTCATCGAAGCAAGGACCATACAATAGTGAAGCCATAGCGTTCATCGAGGCCCACTGGATTGCCTCGATTTGTTCGTTCACCTCTTTATCAAATGTAAATTTATCTATAGAATCCTTTGACCGAACATGCTGAGTGGACTTGTAACGTTCAACTTCACGTCGGTAATCGCTAGAACCATCCTGACTCCATGTACTACCTGTGTCATCACACCAGGAGAGAAGAAGATCAAACAGTCGTTTTCTGGTTCTAAGGTCAAACTTCTCAGATTTCGACTCGACAAATTCAGGGGCTAATGATCTTAGAACAGAAGCTAGTGCATAACGGAGAGGTTGCATTTCTTGAAAGATCTCCACAGGTGCAGTTAAGATTTGTTTGTTTGTTTCTTCAATGAACTTTAAATAATGAACGCGGAAAACTGGCTTGCGCCCTAGCATGCCTGGCCAGATATTCTCAGCAACAGTGCGGTATATATTAGCAATGTGGGTACGAAGTTCTTCACGACGAGCCTTTTGACTCTATATCCATAAGAGTGACATTTCGTAAGTTCAATTGGCCAGAATGCAAAATTTGAAAATTGCAGATACATAAACATCAAAGCAACAAAAGAAAATATCATATACAGAAAGGAATTTCCCCGAAGATGTCACATTAGCCCATGCATGGTTATGTAATCCTGGTAACATAAAGACGGCATTTGAACCCACAAATGAATTGAAGTGAACTAGTAACTATACCTGTAAAGACCTAATGGTCAAAACATTAATTTTCTTTTATATAAATATTTTCCATTTTCCGCATGCTGTATCAAACAGAGTTTCATGAATAGTTTCTGAAGGTGGGCTAGGATATCTCTGATATGACCGATGAAAAGGAAATAAAAACAACATTTGCTAAGAGATATTTAACAAAAGCCCATATCCTATGAAGCGATGGCAACCTTCAGTATTATTGAGTCATACAATGTTAATATGAAAAACATATTTTGTCTCAACGAAAATCAATGAATTGTAGGAATTATTTTTGGTTGAGTTTCAATTATTTCACATAGTTTATGAGCTGTATACCAAGATCTTAGCATAATATTAACTAGACCACCATTTAAAATAATTTTCGCTGATTGGCATAAAAATTCATAAATAAGTGGTCTACCACTATTGTTTTAATACTCAAACGATAGCAAAAATGATCTCTACATCATGTATGAAACCAAAGTGAAAAGGAATTATGGGGAGATCACTCCATTATATGGTTTTAACAGCATTAATTTATATGAGGATATCAAAGTGAAATGACATTGGATTGTTGATGTACTATTCCTTGTTTCACCATTAAACTCAGGCAGAAGAAGGTTATGCCATATCAACTCCTATATATACTTTGATAGGAATTAACAATGCAAATTTTAGTTTTTGAAAGCGGTACCACCATCATTGTTTAGTGTTGGCATAATATATTCAGTTACTTCATACAAATTGGTATAATCATTGTAGGATTTAATTTTTCCCGCCCATAAGCAATTACATCATAAACTGAATAATTGATATAGTGGTTTGATGCTCATTATGAGCTATAAGGGGAAAAAACAATATAAAAGCACATTGTAAGCTTCCAACATCCAAGAAGGAAGACAAGAAAAAAGGGCGAACTTTTTGTGCATTTAGTCATCAACTATACCTTCCACTTTGGTTTTCCCTCAGTTTCCAGAGAAACCTCGTCAATGAAAGTTGCAAGCCCACTGAACATGATTTCGCATACCTCAAGATGTGAGTGACCAAGAGCCATGGTGGCAGCATGCTGAAAAGGAAAACGAGAAACAACCAACTTGAGATATATTCAAGAGCACTAATAATAAATAGATGAAGAATAAACACTTTTTTCTAGTAACAACAGTCACATTAACAAAAAGATGCTTGTGTATTTCGGAAAGAACCTCAACCCAGTTGGTTTCAATCGAATCTTTTTTCATTTTTGTTTTCTATTTTCTATTACTAGCTGGTTTGAATCTAATCTTTTCCCATTAACACTACATTTTATCCCCTCTTTTCTACAAGTACTAAATTATCACATTAGAATTTCTTTGAAGGAAAGGATAGTAAAGCAGGGTTTTGGTGATGTTACTTAGTTTAATTAATTAGGGAACATAGAGTGAAACAGATACTGACTGTGCAGGAAAAATTTTGGACTCTGATAAAAAACTATAAGCTAATAGATTTTCATGAAATACTAAAAAGTAAAACTATTTTGCATGCCAACGAAAGAACCAAATTTGAAACTACACACCATGCAGATAAACTTCAATAGAATATCATACGCATATAGGATATGACAAGACAGTATTACCCACATTTGAGAAAAAAATTTCAAGGCTTGTCCTTCATAGTCCAAAAGGACACATTTTCCAATTATTAACAAGTTCCTTTGCAAGGTTTTCACTTATACAATTATCCAGCAACTCGCTAAAATTTGACCAAACTGCATTCAAGAATTGCCTGAAAGTTAGATGTATAGGAGCATGAATATAAGATCATAGGATCACAACTCTGCATCTAACTTCTATGATCTGTCCCATATTTTCTACAATTCAGTTTCTTATCTTCTGTTTCTTCAATTTTCTTCCATCCTCAGGCTTTCTTTTAGCAATTTTGTTTATCTTAATTTAAAATATAAACAATTTCATTTTAAATTTGGCTGCAGAGGACCACTCTGAAATGCTGAAGTTGAAACCTCCATGAATTATGTATTTTTATATGAAGTTGTCAACATGACCAACAGTTCCTCTCTGAATTGGAGAAAATAGCTTTCTGATTGGGGAAAAAAGTAAAAATTTGATTCCATAATTCTCCAATCCTGCTGATCTTCGAGCTTTAAGACTAACTCTCCTCCTTTCCACATTATTTTGGCTCTTTCAAGAACAGTGTGCTTCGTAACAATATACAAGTTAAATCATGTCTTCAGAATTATGGATTGCTTGATAGTATGTACTTACTATATGGGCTTCAGATCCAGATTTTAGTGACGGGAAAATAAGATGGAAGAGATCTTTGGATGCTGATAAACCACCAGTTTCCCTACTATCTGGTGGACATGAGCATGCAAACATTGCATACATAAGCCACTGATCTAGTTTATTGTCTATATCCTGCGACTGATGAGCTTTTCCGCCCAACTCGAAAGGTGTGATATGAGCAAGACGCTGAATGACCTCTAACCTGCAAAGAAGATGAAGTCACTATGAGATTTTGGATTTCTTTTAATTTTCAAAACGTACTAACTTGGAGATTTTGGCCCATAGCTAGGAGAGAAAAACTGGAGAGACTGAAAGACACCAACAACACACCAGGAGAGACACTCCATTTTTTTAGTACAACCATTTACCAACAGTTACAATATATAAAATCGAGAAAAATAGCGACTCACATGTCAACATATTCATTTTTTTGGCAAGTGAGTGTATAAATATATAAAAAACAGGAAATATATACGTCTTACAAGGGGCAGAACCTTGCAATATTAATTTCTTTAAAGATACTGCAATAACTGCATAAGAAACTTCATAATCTTACTACGGAAAAACAAAAATGATATGTCAAGAGAATCAACATTTAGCAAAAAAAATTTTAAATGTAACACAAATGCAAATTTGTAAAGGCTTACTTTGCTTCCTGAACAGAGCTCGGGCAAAGGTCAGCAGCATATTTGACTAGTTCACTAAGACATCGAGCCCATCTGTTCTTATCAGGGCTCTCAAATAAAATAGATTGAAGCGTCACATCTGGCGGTACTGCCTCGGACTCTCGCCTCAAATCAAATGGACGCCCAGAATCCCAATAGCAGCTCTGAACAATGTCATCCTGTAAACCTCATAGGTTCATGTTTGATGCAACAACATTCGAAAAAAAGAAGGGAAAAAAATGAAAAACAAAACATATTTGAAAGTATAACCTACCCCGTTCTCTTCTAAAACATCAATTATAAATATTGGTTCAGCCTCATTCTTCAAGTCTGATCTCTCATACATTGCAAGTTCCCGTATATCATTTCTTAAAGCACGAACACAGCGCAGTAACTCCAATGCTGTATGCCTGATCTGACTATCAACAGAACTAAGGAATATAAGGCCAACTGCATCTATCTCCGAAGCACGAAACTCAATTGCTTCTCCTGATTGACGGAAAGAAGACTTCTTGAATCCATCACTCCTCTGCACACGCTTTGCCTCTTGTGCATCATAGTCTATCCTATCATCAGGTAGACAAGCTCTCCAAAAACGCATTAGTTCTAACAGGCGTCCCAATGAAGTTTGAATGAGAAGAGGGAACTCATCAGGAAGCCGTAGGATGAAGTTGGCCATTCCTCTCATAACTGCAAAACGGCGATGTGGAAGGTATCTCACTATCCGATTCAGTACCTGTACTGCCTCCTCACGAACACCAGGATCAATACTAATGCCATGCTGAGGTATTATTTCAGTGATTTTATCACTTCGGCCAACTTCTTCAATTAGATATGGTATGCACTTCAGAACTGACCGGAAAAGATATCCTTGTGACTTTTCCTTGGTTACGGCATCTAGAGAAGCATGCAATTCATTTACTATGTGGCATTCAAGCAACAAAAGCAAAAATTGAAACCAGAATCACGCTAGAGAGGACAATTAGTCAATAACCAAAATTACAAAACTACAGAAGATAAATGGATTACCTAGTAGAAGGCAAATAAGTTGAGATGTAAAAGAAATGTTAAATAATATCACAGATCACAGAACCACCAAATTGTGCAGCAGACATGCAAGTGGCACAAGGAGAGACCAACACAGTCAATGTTCCACACACAAAATCTGACCAAAACCCACAAATAGAAATGAGACCATGGTTTCCATCATAGAAAAGAGAATCTCCTACAAAATGATGGCAGTTGAGCTTTCTGGATGAAGGCAAGAATGAAAACATGAATTCTCCAAACAAAGGAGAAGAGCTCCCTCCCTAAAGTGATGTCCTTACAGTTAAGACAGCCTAAAGAACCATAAATGGCTGCAAGGAAGATGCAGTCTGCTCTAGAAAGACTTCATTGTTTCAGAATTTCCTCTCAAAGGGAAAGCCTCCCCTATATGCTAAGCAAACTAGGGAACAGGGTACAGGAGAGGAAAACTCACATTTTATTTTTTATTTTTTTTGTTGATAAAACACACATTTTCTGGTCACATTAAGTATGGGTTCATCCTCTATGACATTTCCTGTCATCATGCTTCCACTTTTGATTTTCCTTGCTTTTTTTTTTTGTGGACGCATCATAGAGTGAACACGAATACTCCTAAAGAGAAGACCAAGAAAAGCCCTTTCACCAAACACGTCGGTTGGGTATAGAAAGGCTCATGTACTTTATCTTTGAGGCAGTCTCTTTCCATGGCTTTAAAAGTTTCAAAAGATTATTTCAAAAGTTGACTTTTTGGCTTTCATGGTTCATTATTCTACAAAAAGGTCAGTACATTTTTTCAATGCACTGATAATCCCGAGAACAAGGTGCACGATAGAGTCCATTACCTCTTCAGGTCTCAATTTCAGAGGTTTCGATTGGGTTCTGGGTTCCTATGTCCATCATCAGACTGGAGAATCATAAGCACAGGGTGGCTTGAAATAACACTGTGATTCAACAATGGAGACTAGTAGCAGATTCAACTTTTACTTTAATGGTTGCTGCCCTAGGCAATTCTGGACTCTTGGGTGAATTTTTAGGGATGGCGGTGGTGAAGTCATGTATAATTTCTCTTTGCCTAGTGGAATCGGGTAAATCCTTTGAAACAAATACATGCAAGTAACACTATGAAGATGATGATTATTTCATTTCAATGATTCTGCATACAGCATGAAAAATTTGAAAAACAGAAAACATTACCTATTGTGGTCCTTGAAGAAGTAAGAAGAGCTTGACTATAGATTCTGTGACAAGACCTTAGAATCAACTCAATTGCAGCCTTTACTTTTGGAATGTAGTGGCCAATATTATGACCTGTCAATGCAACACAAGAAGATCAGTTGAGAAGTTCGAGGAACAAAATCAAGCATGTATACAGAATATTTAAGTTAAGAAAAGAATCATAAATCACCATGAAGAATTTCTAGGCCAACATGCTGGCTGGAAGGAGACATAACAATGGCAAGCAAGGCACGAAGACCAATAACCTTAGCTTCACTTGGACTATCTTGCTTCAGCAATTCCAATATCATATGGTTCATGGCAAAATCAAGATTATGTTCTGCTATAGTCGCACAAAATTCAACAATTTTGTCATGTTGAACATCCTGAGTTAGCATTCCCTTCCTAAGAATGTTTAGGAGTTGTGAGGTCACACTGTCTAGGTAGTCCCATACCCGATTTGGTGGCTGGGAATCCCCATGAACAGTCAAGTAAAACCTCAAAACCCGATGAAGACAGTCCAAGGCCATAAAACGGTGGTTCTTGTCCTGCATGACAAAGCCCACTGTAAAATAAATTGATGTATATTATTGATTGATTTATATTGATATCTATTACAATGATTCATGATTCCTATATATAGAAGAGGGTGAGTGTGTAGTAGGTAAGGAGTAGGTGAAGTGGAGGTGGTAGTGGTGTAGTGGGTTAGGTTTAAGTGGGTGAAGTAGGTGGAGAGTAGGTGGATTTTAACACCCACTATATCACATACAGAACCTGTGAAATAGAAAATAACACATATATGATCTCCACACATTAACAAAGTAACAAGCCTGGCATAAAGGACCCATGCAAGAACAACCATGTCAGATAGCTTGTCATGTACACTGTTTGTTAGGTAGTTAAACTTACTTTAAGATGCTTGTAGAGCTGCTCCATGTGTGAGCCAAAGTTACTGAGGAAAACATTAGGATCACCAAGACAGAGAAGAAGAGTCACCAAAGGATAACCAACCTAAAACAAAGAATTGCTTACATAAGGGGGAAAAAAAACAAATTCAAGAAAAGAGTCAACAACAAATACTAAGGATAAAAAGACACAGCTAATGAAAGATACATGCCGGTAAAAATTGGTCTAAATGTAAAATGTTGACCAGAAAATATATGTAGTTTATAAAAATAACCATAGTCTAATCAAACTGCAAAAAAAACATTAAAAATTAAAAAGAGTCTTTGTTTTTTTGGGTTTACGTGTGGGGGACATCAATAAAATACAAGTTAGAGAGCATACAGATAGTTTATCACTCTATATATGATTGAATATGATTTTGATGATAAACTCACAAATTAAAGGTCATTTAGACGAAGCATGATAGGGACTCAATGAACTTAAACCATATGAATCTAGCAAAATTGGTTTGAGCTTATAACTGAACTGTTATTTACTGCAAGACTGTTGTTTTGATATTATAATTTAACTGAAGATAATTGTATATTTGCGTAAATGAACTACTGTGTGAGGTGTAGATTGCCGATTGCTTACAAGACCCTTCAACAATGGAGGCTCCAGCTAATTCAAACAAGACAAGCTTTAACCAGATATTTTGTACTTGAAGAGAAATTGAAAATTACAAGGTAAATCAACTAATAAAATCATCTTAAATAAAAATAAATAAAACTTCTAAAATTCAAAAGAACAATAAAGGAAGAGAAAGCAAATATATTCAGATAATATAGACTTAACAATCATTTATATCCTCCTTTAGAAGTTGTACACTGAAATCAAATTGGATCATCCATGTTCCAAGAAATAACAGCACCTCCTAAGAATAAAACATTCTTGATGGTTGTAAAATCCAATAAGATAAAATGGAGTTCTTTTTCACTTTTCAGGTTACAAAATGACCAGAACTTTGGAGTTCCAGGAAAAGGAAAAACAATTGGTGTCTGAGCATTACTCACAGCTATATGTTTGCTCTGTTTGTCCATCCAATGCATAAGCTGCCCTCTTATTCGTGCAAGGGCTTCGTACCAAAAGGTAAGTGCAGGTTCTACTCCAGAAGGAGGCCATTGGCCTTTTCCACCATCTGCTAGTGGTGCTAGAATATGTGAAAGCATATTGCATAGAGCATGATGAAGTTCACTTTTTCTTTTATGGGGAGCACGATTAAGAGGGTTTGCTTTTGCCACAAAAGAAGCTGATGCATTCAGTCCACCCTCAGTCTTAACCTGGCAATCACCTTATTATCATATACTTGCCTTCATACAAAATTTCACTAAAGGATTTTTAATCTCATACATACCCCAAGTTTCAGATAGCGCATTCCATTAATTATACTAAGTGTTTCACTTCGAGCAACACTAGTATCAATCCGACGAGTATTGAGTTCCATGAAAAAACGTTCAGTCACAGGACTAAACCTATTAAAAAAAAGAAGTGTTACCAAAAATTAAACCAAGATTTTACCATACTGGCTGAGAAGTAGTAAGAACAAAGCACAAATGCCACTCCAGATACCATTCTCAAGCCTCGTTTGGGAACAGGCTAATTTAGTAACTTTTTGGCTATTTGGCTAAAATATAAGTTAAAAAAAACTAGTATGTTTGGGATGACTTTTTGGCTTTTTACGAAAATATGTGCAAAAAGTAGAGAGAAAAGAGAATCTTTGACTTTTTGGTATGGATTGTTGGCTTTTTGGCTAATTTAGTAACTTTTTGACTTTTTGACTAAAAAGTTCGGTTGCCAAACGAGGCCTCAGTCCCAAAAAAAATTAAAAATTAAAAATTTTGAATGGCTGAGAAGTCATATAGAAGTGTGAATATTTGTTCACCTATAATACATATCATTACTAGTTCCCAATTTTAATCACTTAAATCAGCTAAATCACTGATCCTACCATACATGGTAATTGAACTCATTGATGAGAATATAAACAGACCAAGAAAGTGCGCAATATTATCAATAAAGTAAAAAGGCAAAACAAAAAAACATAAACAGCAAGTCAGCAGCCAGCATGATAGGATCCACCTTAAAAAGACTTGTTGTACAAGGAAAAACAAAGACACAGCAAAGTCAGGGCCAATATGTAGCAGATAACCAGGGTTCATGTTGATCACTTACCAAAGAACCACAAAAATAAAATAGAATGATCATCACATTTGAGACTGCCTATATGCTACAGCTCTATTTCGTATATGTCAGTAATACTAACACATGATGCACTGACAAGACCCTGTGAACATACAGGTGAAAAAGGGTTTGATGATTTCAACCAATGTACTTAAAAATGAATGCTCAATTAGATAATGCGGTGTGAATGATTTTGTAATTTGGAAGAACAGCTCCAGCAGGCTTCCCTGAGGAATGGGGACACTAGAGCCTCAAGGAAGTCAGCAAATGTAACCAAACTTGACCAATACTATATCAACTAGAAACAACTAATTAATCATGACACTAGTTAAGATCATTATAATATATTCAGCTAACTGAAACCAAGTACCTATACTAAAACCAAGACATCGCGAAATATATGAGAAAATAGACACTTAAAAAAAAATAATAAATAAAACAAATTCACAGTGGTTGAACAGCTTCAAATAATATTGTAGTTTATCAAATAAATGTCAGTAGGTAATTATCAGTTACCTGATTCGAGACAAAGCACCTAGGAGTTGTGCAACAAGGTCCAGAAGTAGGCCCCGCAAATCAACCAATGAAGGATAATCGACTTGGCTAACAACCCTGCATTTGGTAGATATTGAGTGGATACCAAGTATAATATACGGGTAGATAAGAGAACAAGCTTATTCCTACTGAACATGGATCACATGTCTCTCCAACTCCTAAAAAGTGATAGTTCATCAAGGTTCATGGTTCATAATGGAGTATAGCAACCAGGTCCTCATTTTCTGCTTTACATTCTTCAGGCTAGATTATGGACATCATCACATCTAAGTCATTATTAACACTCAAAAACATAATAAACCATTTAGCACTACTTTTAGACATATATATATATATATATATTAAGAAACAATCCCCAGTTAAAATCAAAAGTTACTTGAGATCATATCAAGGTACAGATCAATGAAAATTAATTCCAATTTGGACCATTATGACAAATAAGGTGCACTGTGCCAAATAACATGCCAACATAATCATTAGAATTGAGATACCAGAAGAAAAACAGGAATGAGAGAGAGAAGAATGCAATGGGCTCATTTCAAAATAAATGCCAGCATGATGCAGGCATTGACTTTTCATGTGCTAAATGAATGTTTGAGCATCTCAATGAATATATATTATGCACTATTTCTCGAAGAAGACTTATCATTCATATTGTAGATTCAAGTCACAAAATTTTGGTAGTCTACAGTCTACATTCTACTAAAATCAGCCCCATTCCTACTGATGCCTTCACAGGCACACTAGTTGCAAAAGATGATTGACCTAGTATGGAGACCAAATATGTTCTTTAGAGTAAAGACAATTCTAGATTTAGCCAAATAAAGAGAAAAACTTGAATTGTAACATACCGCATGATTAAAAAATATATATATATTATATTCAAGTCACAAAATTTTGGTAGTCTACAGTCTACATTCTACTAAAATCAGCCCCATTCCTACTGATGCCTTCACAGGCACACTAGTTGCAAAAGACGATTGACCTAGTATGGAGACCAAATATGTTCTTTTAGAGTATAGACAATTCTAGATTTAGCCAAATAAAGAGAAAAACTTGAATCGTAACATACCACATGATTAAAAAATATATATATATTATTGGCATACCACATGATAAATATAATTTGCAAGTCACCAACATAACTAAATTACCCATGTTCAGTTTGCAAGTTTCTAAACCAATCATGACCAGGCTTACCTGTCAGCATTTATTAGCCAGTCAAATACAAAATTTTCAAGCCCAACCCACAGCTTCTCTGCAGCAAGGACAAGCAAATTTCATCTGACTAGAAATATTCAAATTCAAATAAAAGTCAGCAAAACAATAAAATCACCGAACCTGTTAGTCCTTCTTGTGGGCAGCACTCCACAAATCGAATACATGCTGAGCAAAAAATGCACTCCACTGCAAGCTGGCCCAATGTAAAAACACTTTTAAGCTTCAAATAACTTGAGTAGATTTCCTCAAGCAATTAATTAGATAGCAAGTCTCTTATTATCAAAATATTAATCTATTACAAACCTTTCTCTGAAATGTAGATGCATCATTTGCACCCTTTGGGGATTCACTGCAACAGAAACCAGAAACACAACATAATAAAGATACAAGTGCCATTTCAATTTTATGATAATAAACTGCAATGAAACAATACAGTTTCTCTTTTTAACACCATAGAAGAGAAAGACTTGCATCTTTTGGACAACAACTACCGAACCAAAGAATATAAGGTTTTTATGGGCAAATATAACTTGAATATAAGTTTAGAATGTACAAAGACCCACCTTTCTCTCCATCTAAGAAGAGCTTCCAGGAGTGGTACGGGAGTATGCCGTGCCACCATAGCTAAGGAATCCAATACTTGTTCATAGGCGGGGTCCGATGGTCGAAGGTATTGTCCATCCTGTTTATTCCGCAGGCCAAGGCAAGAAGCTATTGCAAACTATTAGTGAAGATTATAAAAAACTAACAACATTGAAACAAATGGAAAAGACCAAAACAACCATGATGTAGAATAAAAAAATAGTTATTCATAATTTAAGACTAGTATGATATTTACATAATATCCGACAAAACCTGATTAACATAGCATTATTTTTAAAAAAAATAAAACAATACCTGAGCAACCAATGATAAAACATAAGACCAACTCCAATAACTCTTATAGGCCCTGTTTGTTTTCAGAGGTAGGATGGAGGGGATTGATAATGAGGGGACTAAGTAAAATTGTGTTTGTTTTGATGATAATTGTTAGTGTATGGATTGTTAAATTATTTTTATATAAAATAATAAAACAAATAAAAAAAAATACAAAAACATTAAACGTTAATGTTTTAAAAAAAATGCCCAACATGTAAAAAAATTTAAAAAAAATAAAAATAAAATAAAAAAATGTCAGAAAAAAATAAAATAAATAAAATAATGATTTTTACTTAACAAAAAATACAAAAAATTAAACATTAATGTTCAAAAAAAAATGCCCGACATGTAAAAAATAAAATAAAAAATAAATAAAAATAAAAAATTTCTAGTCTGCCGAACTATTTTTCTAATACTAAGTCCTGGAAGCCATCTGAATCTCATCTGCAAGGCCTATCCTAAGCCTTTCGGCTTAGCAGTCCCTTCCTCAACTCTGTAAACAAACAGCACATTAAATGGGACCCACAGCTATCCTAATCCCAATCCCCCTCTCATACCCCAAAACAAACGAGGCCAGGCTTTCTTTGTAAATTTTAACTCTTTCTCAACAAATTCTTGAAAAACATTTTGTGCTTGGTATCGTGCCATATAAATAAAGATAACACACAATTGAGTAATCAATGAACATTGATTTGATGCCAAGCTTATAACTCTCATAGGCCCTTTCGTATGACACAGTTTTCCCTCGACAATAATTGCAATTTCAAGAATACGAAAATACTAAAATTCTTTATTTAATATTTATATTTTTTATCAAGAAGATTTATTATATGTGTATATGTAGGTGTATTTGTTTTTTTCTTTCCTTAGCTAAATATAGACCCAAACTAAAGCAATCACCAAGAGGGTACAGGAAGTTGGCCTTCAAGCTCCCGACACAAACTTAAGCACATTGTACTACCACCAACAGGTCTTACCAACTAAATTAGCAGGCAGCTTTAACTCGATACCCTATTACATTAAGAGGAAAAGGAAAATGTGCAGGTAATTCATACTCTCGTGGAGATGAGTGGGGAAGAATGGATCAAAAAGACAAAGAACTAGTACATATCAAAGCTGAGTGGGGAACATTTGTTTCATGACTTTATGAGAAAGGGAAAGAAAATCCAAAGGATACCATTTTTCCTTAAACATGTAAAAGAATGAATAGAAAATAGGAGGAAAACACAGAAAATTACTAATTTGAGATACCATTTTCCCTTCTTTTTTTTTTTTCAGCCACGTTGAAAAAATAACAATAAAAATAGGAGGATTATTTTCATATTTTATTTTAACCTACAAGGGAGAAAATTTAGGATGATTATTGTCATATTTTATGTACCTTGTCTATCAGACTGTCACTTAAACTGAACATTGCTCTGAAATGTATTGTGCTGATATAATATCTTTTGAATATCTAAGCAATACTTCACGCAAAGCCAACAAGCTTTTCAATGATACATGGAAAGAAAATTGATAAGTTATTGCATCATCATATTTAGCTCACTTCTTAACTTACACAAAAAATGGTTTTCCTTTTTGGCTTCCTCTTCGTGTGTTCTTTCATATATTTCTTACCCGTGTGATTCAACATCGACCAATGAGATTCTCTCTTCTTCCTTTTTTTTGATAAATAAATACAATATTATTAAAGAAACCGAATCAAGCTGATGCAAAAGAATACAAAACGATAAGCTTCAAAGAGAGAAATAGAATCCTAACCAAGCAAGTCATTCAAAACATCCAAAAAAGCAAACACATCCAAGTCCACCCTACCTATAACCCAACTATAAAAACTGTCAACAACCTAGACTCTAACCACGGACCAGGCCAGGTAACCCCCTAAAAGATCTGCAGATTCCGCTTCAACCAAATTAGCCACAATACGCATAGGAGAGCAAGTGCCCAAGCCTTTCGGCGCCGCCTCCCAACCCGACCACCAGCCCAACTCTAAAGGACCTCCAACACACCCCGATGCTAAACTCAAACCACACCAAAGGTAGAAAAAAGCAACACCCACAGCCAATAAGCCACCAAACAGTGAATGAGCAAGTAATCAACAGACTCCGCATCCTCACAACACATAAAATACCAATTTACCAGAATATGACGTTGACAGACTAGATTATCAATTGTCAAAATACTATTAAAAGCCACCATCCAAACAAAAAGTGACACCTTAGATGGGACACTCAGAATCCAAATACTCCACCAAGGAAACATCCTGCCCACCCCACCACTCAAAGCTCGATAAAACAAGGAAACCGAAAAAACACCCTTTGCTCCCTGCCAGCGCCACACCAAACCATCCTCCCCCACCCCCCAAACCCGCACACCATACAAGAGACCCAAAAGATCCACCAACTGCCCAACCTCCCAATCTTGGACCTGCCACTACTATCAAATACCCCAAACTACGAAATCCCCACTCCCACTAACATAGGACGCCACTGACGCCTCAGTATTTTTCAACCACGCAATAATCAAATATTTCAAAATTTTCATCTAGATAATGCATTAATGAGAACCGTTATGTAAAAAAACAAAATAAGTAAGTATGAAATTTAGTTTTATACAACATTAAGGATGTATTTGGTTCATGGATTCGTAGAGGAATTTGAAAATGAAAAGGGAAAAAGAGGTGTGAAATTAGGTGAAATATAAGTATATTTTATTCTCATTTCACCTACCTTTTCCCTTTTCCTTTCCAAATCCCTTCCCAAGTCCTTGAACCAAACACGGCCTAAGAGAAGTGAATCCGTTGAATTTCTCCCCCCTCCTGGATGCAGCAGTCTGTAGACACTGAAAACTAATTTCTTTCAGACAAATTATGCTGATTAAAATGATTCTTTATCCTCTCTTTATTACACTCCATTGTTTTAATGTTAATCAACACAACAATGAAATGTGTATTCTAAATTTTGAATCTATACCCTTGGCTCGTTTTCGGGTAAAAATGATTCGCCTGTAATCCCAGTTCCATGTGTTGGGCTGCTTTGTATACCAACAAAAAATACAATTGGAATCTACATTTCACCGTCACGCATATCCAGATACAATTTTGAACTGAAATTGGGAATTCCAAATTCCAGAAAAAATAAATAAATAAGCACATGTCAAATCCACCAATAAACTTGAGTACAAGTCTAGAAAATGGCATCAGAAATTGTTACCTGTGCCTGAGCAGTTTCGATGCGACGCCTGGCGAGTGGGAGGAAGCGCTGTAGCAGAGCATCGACGATGAGCTTCGCAGCACTCCCAGCCTTCATTTTTGTTGGAGCAATGACAATTACTGAGCTTCCAAGTTCGATTCCGAACCCAACATAGTCGCAAACCCAATCTTTCGCTGTCCCGTAGCACGAAGAAGAAGAAGAAGAAGAAACCCAGCGCTGTAGAGATCTGTCGTTGTTCGATCTGATTAGGCAATGTAACTTTTTACAACGAAACCAAACATCCTCGCTCGCTCGGTGTCTTTTTGCATATTTTGTTTTGACAAAAGTAATATAATAAGGGCTATTTTGATAATATAGTTATAGTCAGTTTTTTTTTTTTTTTTGGGTTGAAAGTTGATTAAAAATTAATTATAATTATTATTATTATTTTTTTGAGAGAGAGAAGTGGGAGTGGATTATGAGCAAGGATCTTCTAGAGTGATTTTTTCTTAAAGTTTCCTAAAGTGTTACAGTGTGTGGTTGAGATTTACTGGCAAGTCACATCAATTTTTCTGATGTGACTTGCCAGTAAATCTCAACCACACAATGTAGCACTCTAGGAAACTTTAGAGAAATTTCACTCTAGAGGATCCTTAGTGGTGGATTATAACCCACTTTCAAAAGACCCCAAACTCTAATTGGCTCGTGCAATAATTACCCCAAAATATATACTAATTTATGGTTTAAAAAAATCTTCCATAAGAGATTAGTATTTGAAAATTACACTACAAAAAAAATTGCAAAAATAATTATAAAGGCATCCCAATTTGTTTTTACTTTTCTTCCTATTATCTCTGTTATTATTTCTCTTCATCTCCTGCTGCTACTGTTGTAACGACCTTTTCACCATGTCTCATTTTACCTTCCCTTGCCATCTCTCCACTTTCTCTCACCTCAGTCTTTCACTTCTACAAATTGACATCAAATTTTGACAACTAGACCTCATTTACCAACTAAATATTTTAATTAAAAATTTATTATAACTTATTACACTGTTTTCTCTATTTTTCTGTATATTTTTTAGTAAACAAAAATATTAAAATAATTTATTCTCAAACAAGACATAACCTACCTTTTTTTGTTTTAAACTAAAAATAAACAAATTATAAAACGATAAAGAAAATGAGGCAGAGTTTATTGGTGGCGACACTATTGTTGCTGAATATGGGTTGATGGCAATGAAAAAATATCCATGTCAAGCTATCTATAAATGCGTACAAACACGTGTGATCATTTTTTTTTTTTTAAATTAATGTATGTAATGAGAACTCAAATAAGATTAATATTATAGCTAGCCATCAAATGGAAAATTAATTATTAAGAAAAATTGCACTTTATCTCCACATCATTATAACATTATATTCAATTAAAAGTTATTACATTTAATTCCCTTATTTCTTTTATCTCAATTTTCACATTTTGTTATGAATATAAAAAATTTTAAAAAAGAAAATGTAAATTTTATGTAAAAAATGTTTATTCAATAGGTGCTTTATTTGTTAGGCCCTTTTTTTTTTTCTTTTTTTAACTAAGAAAACTAGCGACCCAAACAACATTACAAAGATAAACCTCCCTTAAAGCATGATGAGGGAAATAAACCCAATTGACAGGCAATTCTCTACGTATAAAATTAAAGCTTGGGCAATCCAATAAGCTGCATTGTTCGACGAATGAAGGCTCCAGTCAAAAGATAAATTATCTTGCATTGCCATACATCAAATATCATGAAGGATAGTATTACACCCCAATGGAGACCTGTTTCAGGCACAAAAGAATGATAACTTGCTTCTTATCACCCTCAATCTCAATGTTTGGAAGGTTTTATGTAAAAAATGTTTATTCAATAGGTGCTTTATTTGTTAGGCCCTTTTTTTTTTTCTTTTTTTAACTAAGAAAACTAGCGACCCAAACAACATTACAAAGATAAACCTCCCTTAAAGCATGATGAGGGAAATAAACCCAATTGACAGGCAATTCTCTACGTATAAAATTAAAGCTTGGGCAATCCAATAAGTTGCATTGTTCGACAAATGAGGGCTCCAGTCAAAAGATAAATTATCTTGCATTGCCATACATCAAATATCATGAAGGATAGTATTACACCCCAATGGAGACCTGTTTCTGGCACAAAAAAATGATAACTTGCTTCTTATCACCCTCAATCTCAATGTTTGGAAGGTTGAGTGCCTTAGCCATAAGACAAGCCATATTCGAATGGCAAAAGTTATAGCCATAGACTTAGCTATTCCACCAATGAGATTTCCTAATGAATTCCGAAGAAGAATAACAATTGTACCTTAACAAGACCCTTTCTTAACAGCCACATTAATTTAAGTTGATCCCTCGAAGGAGGGTTCCAAGATGGAGATGGACATCTAGAAGCACCGACTGAAGGTGGAAAGAGCTACCATAAGAAATTTCGCCATTGCTTGATTTGCCTAAAAGAGTGTAGACAACGGCCCAATAATATTGGAGTTGAAAATTAAATTATTTCTATCCATTCAAATAAACCACCCAATCCACGCCACTGTACTAAAGAACTCAACACAATCTGAATTATTCTGGAACAACTTCACAACAGTGCAATACCATTTAGCCACAAAAAGAAACAATTGAGGATCCACTTTAAAATTTAAACAACTCCTAAACCAAACGGCCCTAACCCAATGGCACCTAAACAGAATATGCTCCACTAACTTTGGTTCGCTTTTACAAATCGGGCATACAACAGTCAGTGCACATTTTTTGCGGTACAATTTTTTTTTTAGTTTATTTGATGGTTGTAAGAGAAAATATGAAATAATTATGATTTTAATATGATATTTTATCTTATTAGCTATCTTAATTTATTTTTTCTTTAATGAATATTTTAGCCAAAAACTATTTTTCCAAATATCCCTATTGAAGGCCCCAAACCCCCTGTACTTCCCCAGCCCCAGTGACCCCAGCACCACGTGGAGGTGGGTGATTGAAAAAAAAATAAAAAAAAATATGGCTAATAAAATGCCAGTGGGGGTGCTGGGGTCCCTAGCATAGTTGTGTCCCTATTATACGTGAGATATGTGTAAATATTTCACATTAAATGAACATTTAAAAAAAAAATTATAAAGTTTGTGTGTATAACCCATATGGTATTTTACCATTATATTTTCACAATAAAATTTCAATTAAAATTTGAATTTGAAAAGAAAAATTAGAAGATTATGAGAAGAAGTGACAATGTTTAGTTAAACGATGGCAATAACCCATAGTTGGGGTAAAATGTAATTTATCCTAACTATTATAATAATAATAATAAAAAAGGAGTATTTACACAAAAGTTCTAATTTATGAACTTATATTCCATTAAGTCAAACTAAAATTTTTTAGAACTTCAAGTCCTATTAAATTTTTAATAGCCGGAATTGTCCTTAAAACAATGATACTAATCTATAAAGGAACATGATAATTTGACATTTATTTTGATTTTCAAAACTTTAAAATATAAACTTATAATAAAAAATTTATGTGGAAAAAAAAACTAATCAGCTTGTGTGATTCCTATTTTCAGGATTCACTTCTCATAAAATTGAATTTTTTTGTTTTTGCTTATTTATTTATTTATTTTTTGTTTTCATTGATTTTTTAAAAAATTTCTAAGAATTTTTTTAAAAATTTTTAGGTCACCTAACATAAATACACTTTAAAAATATAATATTTGTGAAAAAAAAATCTTTAGAAAATTCACTAAGCATAAAAAATACAAAAAATACTCGTATTTAGTACATTTTTTGTATTATTATGTATTTATTATTTTTTAAAAAATATTTTATTTTTTAAATACATCTAAGTAAGGTGTATCTAAAAAAATTTTAAAAAACAATTGCTTAAATTTAAAAAATATTTACTAAAAATAAAGAAACTAAATTTTCAGAAAATTAAACCCACAACACCGATATGTTTTTTGAAAAAATTAAAAAGTTGAATTATTTTTTTATACAAAATTTAAAATTTTGTGTCTATAAATGAGTATGATGATATAACATTGATGTGCAAAATTATATAAAAAAAACTTTAAAAATGAAAAAATTGAAAATATTCTTAATTTTAAAATTGAAAAAACTGTTAATATTATCAATTTTGTTGAATAGTTGAATCAAACCAATAAATAGAAGGGAAAAATTATTTAATTTAACGCTTTGTTTTAGTGAAACAATTATTTAGATTATTATTATATAAAATTATTAATATTTTTAATTTTAAAAATAAAAAACCAATAATATTTTTAATTTTATTAAATAAGATTTATTAATTAATTTTTTTTAAATAAAACATAAACTACTATAATATTTATAAGTAGAACTTTGTGATGATAACTCATTCGAAAAACGACTAGTTTGAAGTTTTAGACAAACTAGTGTAAAATGTAATTAACCATGATGCGGAGTTTGACTAAAACCAGTGGCTCGGTCACTTGGCAACCTAACTAGCATCATGGCTGGGAAGGACGAGAAACAAGAGCGCGACGAATTAGCTGAGTCACTGAACGATCTCTTCACCAATCTCTCCACCATGGTCCAAGGCGAGCTTCAGGTACTCCTCTCTCTCTCTCTCCCTCTCTCTCTCTCTCTCTCTCTCATCACTTTCTCTCTCTAGTTTCTTTCGACTCGTCTTCTATGGTTCGCCATCGGATTTTGAATCACTGCACTTAGCCGATTATAGCTTCGATCATTGTCTGTGATTTGATTATCTTCACTACTAGTTAGTGTATTTTCCCCCTCTTCTTCTTCTGAGTTTTGTTTTATAATTATGATATTGATGAAAAGGAAACATGTATGAGGCATTTTTGTTCCTTTCCTTGACCGATCTGAGAGAATTTTCAGGAATACCCAATTTAATTTTGTTTGGAGTCTGGTGATTCATTGGGATTTTTCAGTTGATTCAAGTGTAGTTCACTCCATGACATTTTCCATCAATTTGAAAGGGTCGTACATATCCCTATTTCACCTACGCAGATCCCTTTACAATTTCATGATCCAAACGTAGTCCTGAGGATGTTAAATCCAAATCTTGAAATGCATGACTGGTTAGAGGATTTTATTTCAGATCTTACAAGTCTGATTTCTATGAAAAATCTGATTTTCTTTATATTTTTGCGAAGACATAAACATAATTTTAAAAACAAAAATATATACATAAACATGAACAATTTTTTTAAATTGTTGTTCTCTTCAATATTTAGATCAATGATAGTTCTTGGATTGTCTGCATAAGCTGACCCACTAGTCGAGTAATAAATAATATGATTTTGACGAAAGAAAAGATCCTTGTTTTTCTTCTTTTTTTTATTTTTACCCTGTAAAGTTTGTATTAACTGCAATTTATAAATCTGAAGAATTTTTGGGTATCCATTAGGTCTCCAAGGTAATATTGTCAAAAGATAAATTAATGGTTATTTCTTGCACCAGTTATAAAACTCTCCACTTTCTTATTAGGAGTAATGCTTTACAAATTAAAAAATATATATAATATGCATTTACTCATATGAGTTGTGTCAACTTTCAATCATATTTTTAGGGTAAACGTTTTAAAAGTTACTTAATTCCCATCAAGGTTTATTAAAAGTAAGTCATTCTAAAAGCATCGCTAAAAATAAATTTTTGTGACGATTTTTTACATGTCACTAAAATTTGACAATTAGCGATTTTTTTGGTCACAATTTTTATAAACTGTGGCTAAAACTTACAATTAGTGACGTTTTTCTGTGATAAAATTTTCAAACTGTCGTTGAAAATTAGTGATTTTTTTTTAACTCTTGCTAAAACTTATAAAGAGTGATATTTTTTGTGACAATTTTCAAACTGTTGCTGAAAATTAACAATTAATAATGTTTTTTAATAGTGTTTAATGAAAAATGCTATTAATTATCATAAGACTTATTGAATAATAAGTATATCTATTAGGACCTATGGGTAAGTTCCCTTATTTTTTATTGGGTTCTACCTATCTCAAATTATAAAAGTTCGCAACTGCATGGCCAGCCGTTATTAAGAAAAGTCTGAACTTTGTTAATATTATTTTCCTTCTCTCATTCACTTCCCTAGTTATATAATTATATTCTCATACATGTGTGTACTGGCATCACGAGTTTCTGGTCAGATATTAGCATCTTAACTTTGGTTATTAGAAGAATATCACTTACCGTATAAAAATAAATTGATAATTTCCATATCACCAGCAATGGTGGAAAATTCTCGTGGATTTTGCATATGAACTGTAAAAGTTCATTACTGTGGAAAATAGTGCAAAAAAGTGAAGGTATAAGTGGCATCAAATGCTGACTGATGGCTTCTTCTACTAATGAGCTGTACACATTCATAGCACCAAATTTGCTTGCTTCCTGGCCATGATTCTGACTTTTATGCCAATTTTTTATTGCCTTCATAGTATGGAGGACGGTACACACTTGTGGATATGACACTTAATTGTTCATCTTGTTTCAGGGGTCAAGCAATGTACTAGAACTTTTGGAGAAGATGAATCTCAGGGTGGCAGAAGAGTATAAAGGGTATGGTGATGTGGCTTCTGGGTTAAGGGTCTTTGTGGAGCAGCTCAAGTCCAAAAGTGGTAGCTTTGATGAGTATGTTCAGCAAATTGATGCGATAGAGCAGCAAGTGACAGAATTTGAAGCTGTAATTTCGATGCTTGACAAATATGTTTCTTTGTTAGAATCAAAAGTGCATTCTGTTTTCCAAGTTCCACCTTCGTAAACATAGGTTCTCATTGCTGAATTTTATTTTGACATCTTGATTCATTTGTGTCCGATGTGTTGTATATTTTGTGTGTGCGGCATATGCATGCCGATTCCATTCTGTTCTATTTGAAATGTATGCTTCCCAGATTGTGAAAGCCTAGCCTATCACAGTTAGATGATTCTATCTTGTATACCCTGCGGTTAAAGGCAATCATTTATGTTGTTGTATGAATGCATCTGCTATTTTTTCATGTGCAATCCAGACAGATGGCAATAGTTGTGCTGAAATACAAGAGGTGTCACTACTAGAAAAGGGAGGACACGGAACTTTTTGCGGCGGTTTGAAAATCGTTGCAAAAAACAAGTTTTTGCGACGTTAAATGATGCCGTCGTCAAATAATTTTTTTTGCCATGAAAAATCCAAGACCGTGGCAAAAAAGAGTATTTTACATGACGATTTGTCACCCGTCGTTTTTTTTTTTTGGAATTGTTTATATTTTTTGCGACGCTATTTATTCCTCCGTCGAAAAAAAAACTCTTTTTGCTTCCCTCGCCCTTCGTCTTTGCCCTGTCTTCCATATACCCTTTCAATATCCTCTTCTCAGATCAAAAAAAAAAAGGAAAAGAAACTGTCTGCCTTCTCCTAGTCGTCTCTTTCCATCTCGGAGCCCCAACAGCACTAGCGTGAGATACCCTCCTCTCCTCTCCTTTTCTTTCCTCTCACACTCGCTCGCACAGACCCTTACAATCTCTCTCTCTCTCTTTCTCTCTCTCTCTCTCTCTCTCTCTCTCTCTCTCTCTCTCTCTCGCGTTATCCTCACAGTCTGTCTGTAGCAGCGGCAGCGACTTCTCACCGGTTCTCGCTCCGACATCCAGGTATCTCTCCTCTGCTGTTCTCTCCTCTTTTTCTCTTCTTTTGCCTTCATTGGAATCAAACCCTCTTCATTGGAACCCTAGAAAGTGGTGCAGAGATTAGAGATTGAGAGAGGGGGGATTGGAACCCTAGTTTTAAATCTATATAAAACTTAATATTGGCATATTTATGGCTTAAATTGTAAATAGTGAGAGATGAGAATTATCTATTTCAATACTTAATTGAATGTATTTTTATGGACTCTGGTTTTTTTATATAGATTTATAAAAAACTAGAGTCGTCCAGATTCTGAGGAGAAGCCATGGCTTCTTATGCTAGTGTTAGGCAAGTCCTCCAGCCCAAATGTACTAAATATTCCCAATTTCAATTGAGCCCATCTTGGGTTGTTCCTTGCTTACTTGTATTCAAGACCAAGTACATCGGTCGCTTCTCCAGGCTACATGAATTTTCCGGTCACTGGAATCTGGCAACTGCTTTAAAGGCAACTTCAGGAAATGGTGCCAAGGAAAATGAGGATGGAGTGTCTTTTGGGGACAATGAAATTGCCATTGGACACTGACATTCCTAGATTTGAAAGCTTGCTATTCCAGGTACTTGTTACTTTGTCCAGTTTGAGAATTTTTTAGTATTTCCTATAATAGGTTTTCTGAAAATTTTCTAAAAAACATTTTTCGGAAACAGTGCGCTAAACAAGTTTTCCATGATTTTCGAAAATTGAAAACAGAAAACAAAAATGCAACCAAACAATTGGATTATAATTTTATCTCTGTAGTTGTTCACAGCTTTTCTACTATGAGAGAAGAGAATCTCTGTTGGAGGGCCTTGTGAATCGGTCCCCATTGTTGCTCCCTGATTGTCCTCATGGGGTGAGGAAGAAATTACTGAGAGGGAGAAGTGAGAAAAGGAGCTTGGTGGTTATGGACATGGCGAGGTAAATTAAAGTTATAAATATATGACACTATATATGCGAATCATCGAGTTTTCTGTTCCTCTGCAGGTGATTTACAAGGAGAGGTGCCATGGGATGGATTTAGTGGTGGACAGAGCTCAACCAGATGACTTGCTAGTGAGAGAAGTGGACACCATAGTCGAGCATGGTCTTGACTTTGTTGATGAGGGTAACTCGGTAATTAAGACATTGCATTCTTAGATTGTGTTACTGTGAGCTTTGTTTATAAATTTGAAATCAATAATTTGTGCTTTGTCCGACATTGGGTAATGGTCTCTCTCTCTTTCTTTTCTTTTTTTGTTTGTGCTTTCTCTTACCCGATGGGACGTAAGGCTTGGTTTGGTTTGGTTTCTCTTACCCATCATTCTTGGCCATTGGCGGTCATTAATAGTTGCGTCTTTGATATCTTAGTTGCTTTTTGCACTCTTGACGGACAAGAGTAACACCATTTTAACCCATGCCATCAGGGGGGCTTCAGACATCTGCTTGCCATGTGTCCTCTAGTTGGGGAATCCCTGCCATCCACCATAGTCATAGTTTCAATGCCTTCTGTGCATCAGATTTTATAGCATATTTTACTTATGCATTTTTAGATCCTCGTTTTTCCTAAACCAGAAAAGGCCAGATAACGATTAGAGTTCGTCACCTTGCATGTGTGTCTTCTTTTTGCATCAGGTGACCTTGCTTAGGAATTTCTTTCATGTAAAAAATCAAATTGAATTTCAATTTATTTACAAAGATTTTTGGTGCAGTGCATTATTTCTTCTCTTTGATATTTGTTTATACAAATGAATTGAGTTGATTGTAAGATCAAAATCGATTGTTTGAATGGAATGTTATGTTATCTTGCTTTCTTTTGGGGGATTGAGGAACTTGCCTTTAGTGATTAACTTAATAGGCTAGGTGGTATCCCATTGATGATTGTCTTTTAGTGTTTGTTGGATGTCTACAAATTGATTATTTTTTATTTTTTATGATGACAACATATTAATTTATGATTTTACGTGTACCACTTTATTTTTGGTGATATATAAAGAAGCTCTTTTCTATTATCCATACCATTGTGTAAATAATGACGACTTCTTTTCTCATGTTTTTTTATGACTCTTTTATTTTCTTCTTGTGGGGGATATGGTTATTTCCTGTGATTGTTACTTTGTAGACAAAAGAGGATCAAATAAATGGAGAAATTGTTATGGAGGAGGTAACCATCAATCACTCTCACTTTTATATTCTCTTTATATTTTCTCTTCCATTTTCTTCTTCTTGGGGATATGGTTGTTATTTGTGATTTGTTACTTTGTAGGCAAAAGAGGGTCAAATGAATGGGGCAATTGTTATAGAGGAGGTAATCATCAATCTCTCGGTTTTTTAAAATCTCTCTACAATTCTAATCTTGATTTTCCCTTTGATATGTACCTCTAATGATTTAATTTCAATATTCTAATGTCAAATAAATGGGCAATTGTTATAGAGGAGCTTGTTTTATAATTTCAATCAAGAAAATAGTTTTGGATAAAGCAAACTAGAGAAAACAGAATAATGTAGGTGACCCCAAGTAAGTAATTAAGGCTTGTTTAGTTCGGTCAATGAATAAGAATTTTAATGCATTTTTATGCTATGTTTAACAATCTCATCGCGGTGATTGTATCTTTGGTATATTCAGAATGCTGTAATATTTTGTCTCTTATAGTAAGGCAATATGGCAATTGTGATTGGATCTAGATCCTCTCCATGACATATCTAATGGCTATAAATTTGTCACACGAACTTATCATTATTTCAAATTTTTTTCAAAAAAGAAGTCATTACACCCATTGAGGTGGTAGTTTCACAACCATTGGATGGTGTAATGGAGAGGATCTGTATCCGTTGTGATTAACATGTCCCTGTGGGCTATCTCTCACTGTCTCTAAATGACTGAAACCTGCAATTAACTAATGTTGTGTCTGGATGTTAGACTTGTGGAGGGAAAAGTAAAAGTAAGGGAAAAGCAACAATTTTTTTTTATAGCTTTTACTTCATTTACTTTTCCTTATCCAAGATCCAAACTCAACCTAAATATTTGCTTTAGCTTCTTGTGTGTGAATGGAAAGTTAAATGTACTTGTCAACTACTCAAAACAAAAAAGCAGTTATATATATAATCTTCAAATTACATATTTTCTGTTGAGCATTGTTTGGAGTAGCTTGTAATCAAAGCTCTATGTGCTTTTCTAGATAAATTGCTTGTGCTCTTTGAAACAAGTTTGAACCACATCAATTTCTTTTATGTTTGAATCATGGATTTGTTTAGGAATTTGGAAAGGAAAAGAAAAGGTGAAGGAAAGGTGAATGAAATATAAGTTTTTTTTTAAAATTTAAAAATTTTATTTTATTTTTTATTTTTTAATAATCTCTACCCAAATCCATAATAGTTTTAAAGGTTTCTAGATAATGTTGTAGCTGATATTTTATATTGTTTCAATTATACTACATGCACATAAAAAATCATTAAAAAGTGCATAAAAAATAATGTATTGTCAGAATCATTATGAATGAGGCACTTAGAAGTCACATAATGTTTTCTTGTGAATTTTGTTGATTGCGTTCGCATGCACTCGATAGTGGGAGGCTCACATTACAGGTTATTAGCTCACGAAGATTTCATCCCTGAAAATAGCATCATTGTGCTTGGGCTGTGAGGGCAGTCATCCACATGTCTAGTTGAATGTGCTCATCAGCCACCTAACTCTGAGATGTGAATCATCTCTGCTTAGAACATCATAACACGGTCCTTGCATTAATGGAAAAAACTTGCCACGTGAGGTATTCTGTGCTGTCACATTCTATTTCAAAGTGTGCAGTATACATGTTGACAACCAATAGAGCAATGCTATTTAAGCAAATCACAACTTTTTGTTTAAATATTTAGTAAATGAACATGAAGCATGTAAGAAATAATGTATAGAGAAAGATCTCTGCTTAGAACATCATAACACGGTCCTTGCATTAATGGAAAAAATAGGCCACTTGAGGTATTCTGTGCTGTCACATTCTATGTCAAAGTGTGCAGTATACATGCTGACAACCAACAGAGCAATGCTATTTAAGCAAATCACAACTTTTTGATTAAATATATAGTAAATGAACATGAAGCATATACTTTTATGAAAGCCAACTCAGTTCACAATAAAATTCTAATCTTGTGTGATGAGAGTGAGATTGAGAAAGGAGAGATGGGGAGGATGAAAATGAGGGTTTCAATGGGAGGGAAGCAGATTTAGAAAAAAATAATTTCTCCAAAAGAGAAACAATTTTTTTCTTGTGGCATCTTAAGTGAAATTCCATTAAGGCTTTGTTTATATTTTGGATTTGTAGAGGTTTACAGAGAGAGAAGAAAAAGAAAGGGAACAGAGTTTCCAATTTTTCTCTTTTTTACAAATCCCTCCACAAATTCAAGATCCCAAATATTACTGAAAAATATATAATGGTTGAGTGGCATGTTTTAAAACATGCTAGTAAATTACTTTTGTCGCACTTTTTGCTGGAAAATGCCACTGAATCATATTTTTCTTGTAGTGTATATTTATTATACTTGATTGGATCTGCTTGATAGTTCCCTCAATTCCAAGGAAAGATTTGGTGAACAGCCTAAAAATTGGATTGGTTTGAAAAGTGAACTATATAGCTACGCAATTCAGTTTTCATGGTAGCTAGATTCTAAGTGGTGGACTCAATAAAGAAGATGATGTGAGTTCAATTCTATCATCTGATTATAATAGAAGGAAGAATGAAAAAGTAGTGCATTATGTGCTTAAGATGTATCATCTAAGGTACTTATCAAAAAAAAGATGTATCATCTAAGGTGCTACTGAAAACATAAACCCTGACATATTATTCACGAGGTGGCTCTCCTCTTTCAAACCTGGGATTGCTGAGAGGAAGGGTGAGAAGGGGCTGGGAGGTAGCAGGGAGCACTACTAGAAAAAGGGTATATGACATGGACGTTTTTGCGACGGTTTAAAAATTGTCGCAAAAAGCAAATATTTGCTACGGCAAATGAAGCCGTTGCAAAACTTTTTGCAATGGATTGATTTCTGTCGCAAAAGCTTCACATTTGAGACGGATAAAATAATTCGTCGCTAATAGTATTTGTTGAGACAGAAAATGACTGTCGCTGATAAATAAACAAAAAGGCGTTATCATTAGCGATGGAAACAAATTATCTGTCGCAAAATGATCCATCAGTTGTAACAGATACTAAACTGTGGCAAAAAAAATAATTAAAAAGATATAGTTTTATGTTTTTTTTGTGCATCTGTCTGTCCATCACAAATAATACGAGCCCTAACTCCCTCTATTTCATTCTTACGCTATATCTCTTCCTCCCATTGGCATCGCCTCACTCCGACATCCTCCCACCAGTGTCACTCCACTCCACCATCCTCTGACGCCATCATCTTCCCACCGATGATCATTCAAGAAGAAAGTACAGCAAAGCCCGATCAGTATCTAAGTTTCTCTCTCTCTCTCTCTCTCTCTCTCTCTCTCTCTATTTATGAAAAGCTCATATAGATTTCTATATTTTTTCTGTTTGATTTAGTTTGATCTTTTACATTTGGAGATCATGTCTTTTCGTATTTGATTCGATTTGTTGAATACTGAATTTTATTTTATTTTATTTTGAATAGTTCAATAATTACTAGTTTTCTTTTTTGGAACCCTAGATCCTTGTTGTTGAAGCCCTAAGTCAGCGAATCTCTATTCTGGATCAAGTTCCTTCAAGTTGTTCTCAATTGACAATCGATGATCTTTTGGAGGTGCGAATTGCAAATCTCTCTCTCTCTCTCTCTCTCTCTCTCGCGCGCGCGCGCGTGCACGCGCCCAGTCGTCAGTCTCTCTCTCGCAGCGGCAACAACACCAGCGCCACGTCACGCAGCGGAACCAACACCAGCGCTAACACCTCTCGCTCTCACTGTTAATACATCAAAAGCCACATAGGGAGAGAGAGAGAGAGAGCGAGCGAGAGTGACTAACGGCGGCCGGAAGTTCCATCTCTGCCCAGCGCCACCTCTGCATTAGAGGGCATCAAATTGGTATTGGGACATCGATCAACACCCGCGCCACCTCCGTCTCTTTCTCTTGCCCATCCATGGCCTCATTGCCACCGCTGCCTCACCCATGTTCTCCCCATAGGTACATCTCTATTCGAGGAGCCGTGCCCATGGCTAATTTGCATCTGATTATAACTTGTTTTTGTGGTAGGTTTCTCGGTTTTTGATCTATTTAACCAATTGAACTCTGATCAGTCTTGTTTATACTGTTTATTTTTGTTAAATTTCGATTGGGTTTTAGTAATAATCTTGATTTCATCATCTCTTCTACTGGCAGTTCTTCCCAAGTGAGCATGAAACACTGGCATATCGGAATCCATATTCAATGGCTCCAAAGCCTCACTTCTTCAATCCCTTCTACCCATCAGCAGCTTGTTAAGTTGTTTGATAGTATTTTAGGTAAAACAGAGACCCCCTTAGAACCCCCTATCTTTTTTTATTGGTAGAGGGCAAAATATTTATGTATATATATATATGTAATGAAAAAAAAGTTAGTGTTAATTAAATTTTATAGAAGAAATAGAAATGACTAATCAATCTCATCATCCTCTTCTCTTTATAATTATGTTTGTAAATTATCAAAGAAGTATATATATGTATGAAGGGATCATTATAATTTTGTTTTTGTGTTTAATTAATGCCTGATTCTTTACAGTTTTTCTTTATATTGCTTCTTCCTCAGTTTACTTTTGTTCATTTCATGCATCATTGGTGTGGTTTGTAAGAGAGAGTTTCATCTCAAAACTGGACACAATCTCTTCATGGGAGGTTTTATTTTTTTGTGAATTTTACATCCATACGAGAAGAGATAATTATATTCGATTTTATGATTAATTTTTATGCAAATAAAAAAATTAATCCTGATTTTGACCTTAATCTTTTACAAAATTTTAGGAAACTAATAACTAATTACATTTTTTTTTTTTAATCCAATTAGTAATAGAGGAATAAGAGAGGAGAAGGTGCATTCACAACAATAAAACTTGAACTTAGACATTATGTCTAGTACACTTCATCTAATATCTATTAGGTTAATCTCTTGATATTAATCACCTGATATTTTGGTCTGCACAAAAAAAAATTCTCATGCTTGATTTTGTTTATTTGAGAGAAATAATAATATATTAAACTAAGTCAATCTAATTTAAGTGCCAAATAAATATTCCAGACAATAAAATCTATTTTAACAGAATTTTTTCATAAAAAAGTGTATTCAATGGGGGATATTATTCATTGTAGACTCGCAATAAAACATAGCAAAGAGTTTAGCAAAGTGGGGTCATATAGATAGATAGATTAAAAATCTTTTGAATTGCAATGCCAAGATCCAGTTTTGGTGTTTTAGTCTTACTACATGTATATTATATACATACAAAGAGATTTAACAAATCTAATCCCAGCATTTTGCTTTTTATGCCTGCTTATGTTAAGCTTAAAGAACTAATGAATGATGAAGAGAAGTTTTTCTCCATGTGACAATTTTTTGCTACTGCTGTTGATTATGCAATTTGAGGTGAAAATTTCAGAGAGAGACAGAGAAAGAGAGTGATGGACTTTGGTTCAAGTCCCACCCAAGGAGGTAGAGGCTTCTTAGGCAACGAAACTTGACACACACGACGAACTAAGCACCAATGACTTGTAGCGACGGCAAATCATGCCTAAGAACTAGGCACAAATCACGATGATCTAGTTTTTAAAATTGCAATGCCAAGATCCAGTTTTGGTGTTTTAGTCTTACTACATGTATATTATATACATACAAAGAGATTTAACAAATCTAATCCCTGCATTTGGTTTTTATGCCTGCTTATTTTAAGCTTAAAGAACTAATGAATGCTGAAGAGAAGGTTTTCTCCACCTGACAATTTTTTGCTACTGCTGTTGATTATGCAATTTGAGGTGAAAATTTCAGAGAGAGACAGAGAAAGAGAGTGATGAACTTTGGTTCAAGTCCCACCCAAGGAGGTAGAGGCTTCCTACGCAACGAAACTTGACACACACGACGAACTAAGCACCAATGACTTGTAGCGACGGCAAATCATGCCTAAGAACTAGGCACAAATCACGATGATCTAGTTTTTAATTTTCAAAGTTAGCAAATAGTTCGGGGTGTGACAATCATGGTTCTACATTGACATTTTCCCTTTTTCTTTGTCATAGGCATTTTGCATCGAAGTATTTTCTCCACGTATATACTTCAATGTTTAACTCTTTGTGTTTTCTCCAAGTATTTTCAAGAAGATATATTTTTACATTTATTAATTTCTCTTTAACTCTTTGATATGATAAGATAGTTAATGCAAAAAGTCTTTTGTAATCATCCATTGATGCATATCTTCCTCTCCTTAATTTTGTTGAGTGATTTCTCAAATGGTTTCTTTAGAAGCGGTTTTTTTGATCCAATGGAATAGATCATATTAGTTTTTAAAAATTACATATTTTTCCATTAAGTTTTCTTTGATTGAATAAAAGATCATGTTACTGCACTGTTGTAGGGTTCTGTTAAGCATTACTGCCAATTATTTTTATCAGTTAAATATATGTGCAATTTTGATTGTGGTGGCTAAAACTATGCCTCTTTAAATGCAGAGTGGGGAAGTCTGCAGCTATCTATGCTTGTGTAAAAGAACAAGATTTTCATGTTATTGAGGTACTGATAAATTGGTGATATCCTTGTTATTGGACCATTTTGCTCGTTATCTTTTTGAAAATTAAAGGCACATGCAACTTGAGTGATGGCCCTACCATCTGTCCAATCCACATAGGAACTTCTGAATGCGCAATTTATCATTCAATCAGATGCAATTTTCTCTTCCCGAAGTGATTTAAAATCAAGCCTTTTCTTTTTCTATAATTTTATCTAAATAAAATGCATGGATAAAATTAGAAGCTTAATAGTCACAGTTTGAAATATATAAAGTACTGATCAATTTCATAAAGTTTTCTAGTGAAGTAAATCTGGATGGTCATCCCTTTGGCGACTCTTTTGTCTACATAGAGGCATAGAAATGAGTGTGTTTTCAATGGATCTTGCTGGAAATTTGTGTTAATGTATATAATAAGATAGTGGCATGTATATAATATGATAGTGGTGTTGGTGGCAGATAGTGGCATGTATATAAAATCTTTTGAATTGCAATGCCAAGATCCAGTTTTGGTGTTTTAGTCTTACTACATGTATATTATATACATACAAAGAGATTTAACAAATCTAATCCCTGCATTTTGCTTTTTATGCCTGCTTATGTTAAGCTTAAAGAACTAATGAATGATGAAGAGAAGTTTTTCTCCACCTGACGATTTTTTGCTACAGCTGTTAATTATGCAATTTGAGGTGAAAATTTCAGAGAGAGACAGAGAAAGAGAGTGATGAACTTTGGTTCAAGTCCCACCCAAGGAGGTAGAGGCTTCTTAGGCAACGAAACTTGACACACACGACGAACTAAGCACAAATGACTTGTAGCGACGACAAATCATGCCTAAGAACTAGGCACAAACCACGATGATCTAGTTTTTAATTTTCAAAGTTAGCAAATAGTTCGGGGTGTGACAATCATGGTTCTACATTGACATTTTCCCTTTTTCTTTGTCATAGGCATTTTGCATCGAAGTATTTTCTCCACGTATATACTTCAATGTTTAACTCTTTGTGTTTTCTCCAAGTATTTTCAAGAAGATATATTTTTACATTTTATTAATTTCTCTTTGACTCTTTGATATGATAAGATAGTTAATGCAAAAAGTCTTCTGTAATCATCCATTGATGCATATCTTCCTCTCCTTAATTTTGTTGAGTGATTTCTCAAATGGTTTCTTTAGAAGCGGTTTTTTTGATCCAATGGAATAGATCATATTAGTTTTTAAAAATTACATATTTTTCCATTAAGTTTTCTTTGATTGAATAAAAGATCATGTTACTGCACTGTTGTAGGGTTCTGTTAAGTATTACTGCCAATTATTTTTATCAGTTAAATATATGTGCAATTTTGATTGTGGTGGCTAAAACTATGCCTCTTTAAATGCAGAGTGGGAAGTCTGCAGCTATCTATGCTTGTGTAAAAGAACAAGTTTTCATGTTATTGAGGTACTGATAAATTGGTGATATCCTTGCTATTGGACCATTTTGCTCGTTATCTTTTTGAAAATTAAAGGCACATGCAACTTGAGTGATGGCCCTACCATCTGTCCAATCCACATAGGAACTTCTGAATGCGCAATTTATCATTCAATCAGATGCAATTTTCTCTTCCCGAAGTGATTTAAAATCAAGCCTTTTCTTTTTCTATAATTTTATCTAAATAAAATGCATGGATAAAATTAGAAGCTTAATAGTCACAGTTTGAATTATATAAAGTACTGATCAATTTCATAAAGTTTTCTAGTGAAGTAAATCTGGATGGTCATCCCTTTGGCAACTCTTTTGTCTACATAGAGGCATAGAAATGAGTGTGTTTTCAATGGATCTCAACCAGAATTTGAAGCTTTATGTGAAATTGTGAAAGATAGAGTAGCTTTGTGGGTCAAGGCCTCGCCATTACCTGTGAACGTTTCTGTGAATGATCTGGTTTACAATCTGCAGCAGGTCAAGTTTTGTCTCAGGAATGGTGGTTGAGTATGTATCTGTTTTGAGTGTTTATCTGTGTTGCATCAGGAATGGTGGCTGAGCTAGTGTATAGGCTGAGCTAGTGTATGGTCTGGTTACTGAGGATAGTGCATGATCTGGTTTGTGCTGTCAGAGGTTTCTGTGTATGTTCTGGTTTACAATACAGTTTGAGTGGTTCCTGTTTCGGTGTTTGATCTGTGCTGTTCTGTTTCTGTGAGTGATCTGTTATCTTTTTCTGTGAATGTCCTGGATTACAAACTGGATTGAGCTATTGCTGATCTTTTGCTTCTGGAATGGTGGCATATTGGTCTTGCTTTTGCTGGTTGAGTGGTTATCTCGGTTGCCCTGTTCCTTCGGGTTTGGTTCTGTATTCATCAGGATTGGTTATCTGTTTTGCTGTTCTGTTATCTGTTTAGTGCTGATCTTGGTTGTTATCGGTTTTGCTGTTCTTGGTTGTTGCTTGCTTTTGAAATACCTCTTCTAATCACGCTTATTGTTCTTGTAGTTTCTCTGTGCAATAAAGTATATGCTCAGGAGATTGAAGATGAGAAAGCTATTGACTATCATGAATTGATCGATGAAGAAAATCTTCAGTTAAATTCTGCGACTGCTGGGAGAATGGTAAGGAGAAATTATAATATTCAACTTTATTGCATATTAGGATAGCTGTCCAATAACTGTTATTCTTTTCAAAAAGCTTGTCATTTTATGATATCTAATACAGTACACTATTTGCTGCATGTTCTTTTATCTCATGCCATTTTTTGGTGCTATTTTGTGTGGAGAACTTTCCTTTCACATTCCAGGTTCAGGAAAAATAGCATTAAGTTCATTGAGTAGTAGTCAATGGCAAATGATATTCTCTGTTTGCAGTTTGTTTCGCTTAGTGAAACTATTATAGTGGTTTTGGAGGGAAGTGCTTACATGATAGGAGTTGATTGAATGCTAAGAACTGCTTCAAATGGTAACAATGCGCCAATTGTAAAATATGTGTGTGTGTGTGTGTTTTTCCTCTTCTTTTTTTTTTTTTTTTTTAAATTTAGCTTTTGAAATTGAGATTTTGAACATACATGTCGATTAATAGTCTCTTCTTACTGAGGCTTTCAATGTTCTAATGTCTTTCCATACTGTCACCAATCTCTTTTCTTTCTTTAGTCAGATTGGCATATTGAGAGCCATTCTCTTATTTTCTTAGTTTTCTCATGGATTCCGTCGGAGCCATTATTTCCTTCTATCAACTGAAGTTGTAGAGTTTTGCAGAATATGAACTTTGGTGGCCAGATGGGCCTATGTAGATTGCCAAATTGGTTTACTGATAAATTAGAACAGATAATTAGATTGAAAAATACTCAGCGGTTTAGCTCTTGTTTTTGCTACTCGAACTGTTCCCCATATTTCAAAAGTCTGACAATGTATTCCTAGAATGTTACTATAGTAATGTGCGACAAATGATGGTTGATTGCAAGAATCTACACCACCGACCTGTGCATCAAACTTGGAGACAATTTTTGGTGAGTCAAATGAAGTTCAAAGTGAACCAGAGATCAACAATGATGCAGGTACAGTTTAGAATTTTTCTTTTTATGCTATCTTGGGAATTGTTTTTTATTTTTTTATCTTTAGTTAGAGATTTGTCGCTAGAGCATGTGTACTTTTTGACATGAAGATGAAGTTTTTTGAAAAATTTTGTTTTGAGTGTTGCTTCATTCCTCCTAAAAAAGGTGGAAATGAAAATGCTGGAAGTCACTGCTTCATGTTTCCAGAAAATGGTCTGTATGTATCTAACATAATTTATCTGTTTCTTTCTTTTGGTTTTGAACACAATATTGATCAGCTAAAGCTCCCCATAACTCAAAATTTCCTTCACTAAAAGGCACTTTAAAGAGATTGGGTTCACATATTTAAAAAATTACAACATCCTTGACTAGTGCGAAAATTGTAAGATGAGCAAAACAAAGGAGCAACACATTTTGTTTTGGAAGATCACCCAAAAGCAATTACTGGACCCCCAATGCTTGCATTGCATTCAAACTCATTTCATTTGTTGCCTGCACACCAGTTTAATTCTTTATCACTTACATTCCCAACTTATTTAATGTGTCACTTGAATGAATAATGATGAAATTTTGCTTGATCCATGAAGAGTTCTTTGTTGGAGATAGGAGTATAAATCTTTGCATATGTTTGTAAAGAATGTCAAAAAACATAGATTTTTCTTATTGGATTATGTTTTGATAAAATATTTCAAGCACATGTCTTAGCTTTGGAAATATAAACCATCTTCTGCATATGACAGCGCAAAGCAGAAGATTCACGTTCAGTTTTGAACTGGTCCGCTTTTGGGAGCTGATGACAGTGATGATAACAGCAGAAGCTCTAGTGAATATCAAACTTGCAATGTCTCAGATTTCTACATTTCTGACATGATTGCTGCAGGCTTACCCATTGAAGGCAACTCAATTTATGATGACATCACAGAAGCTAGTTGCTTGCTTGATTACAAATGTGATGAGCCAAGTACGTTTTTTGACGTGGCTGAGGAATACATGATACTGCCTTTCCTTGAGGATACCATGGAGGCAGGTGGCAATCATGATGGCAGAACATGTGAGGACGCCATTATAGATTCAGATGATTCAAGCTTGTATCTTGCAATCCATCAGTTGAGATCCTGCAATGAGGAACCTGATGTGAATCCCTACTCAGATTCAGATCAATTAGAGTGCTTTGATCCACACGTTTATCAGAAATCTACCTGACCCACCAGATGTGGCGCCAAATTTTCACCCCACTACATCGCTAAATGAAACACAGAAAATGAAGTCCATTACCCTAGTACTGGATTTGGATGGTAAGAAAATTGAACTCCTTTGATATGTTTACTATTAATCTTGATATTATTTCATTTTGTCTTATCTAGTTTATTTCTCGGTTATGTCAATATAATATTTATGATCCACACCTATAGTGAACTTTCAACTTCGGGTCTACTTGTATTTCTATGAATCAATTTAAAGAATTTTTACATAAGTTTATGCTTCCAAAGGTTGGTCACACTAGCTTTCATTTGTGCAGAAACACTTGTCCACTCTATGTTGGAACATTGTGAAGATGCAGATTTTAGCTTTCCAGTCTTTTTCAACATGAAAGAGCACAGAGTCTATGTAAAACAGAGGCCTTACCTTCAAATGTTCCTAGAGAGGGTTGCTGAGATGTTTGAAATTGTGTTGTTCACAGCCAGTCAAAGCATCTATGCAAAACAGCTTCTGGATATACTGGATCCAGATAAAAAACACTTATCTCTCATCGAGCTTATCGTGAGTCAAGCATTTTTTCAGATGGAAGTTACACCGAGGACTCAACAATTTTGGGTGTTGATCTTGCAAAAATTGCTATAATTGACAATTCTCCTTAGGTAGATTTCCTGTCCATTGACTTTCACGTATCCTTTGTAAAGAATATTTGGTTGATAATTGTTACAAGTTACATATATATGTATGATTTTGTGAATGTGAATGTGGATATGTATGGATGCGGATGTGGATGCAGATGTATTTTATTTTAAAAAATATTAATAATTTGTACAGGGAATGAATTAATAAAATATATATTGTTTTTATGAAAATAATTTTATTGTGACAAAAATAAATCGTTGTTAATGTAATCAACATTTCCTTACATTTTATTAGCAACGGGTTAATCTGTCGCATATATATCGTCGTTCAAATCTTTTACGACGGTTTAAATTGTCACAAATATGATATTAATTTAATTCTACTTTTTGCGGCGTTTTAAACCGTTGCTAATAATATTTTTTTGTGACGGTTTAAACTGTCGTACATACAATATTAATTTAATTATACTTTTTTTGCGACGTTTTAGACCGTCGTTAATAATATTTTTTGCGACGTCAAACACCGTTGCTAAAAAAGTTTTGGCGCTGGCACCAACATCGTCACTAAAAGTGAAGTTTTTTTTTTCTTTTTTGTGTCAGGTTAAATCGTCGGAAAATTCATTGATTAACCGTCGCTATAAGGAAGCAACGGTTTGTAACTGTCACAAATACTTTTTGTCACGCCCCCTTCTGCCACCCCCTATTTTTCGTCGCCACTCCGTTGCAAAGTCTTTTTGCAACGATATGTGAACCTTTTGCAATGTTTAAGACCGTCGCAAAAACTCTGATTTTTGGTAGTGATAGTCTTTTGCCAATGAGCTACTTTGCCACTTCCTATAGGGGTGGGCGCGGGTCGGTTGCGGCCACGAAACCTCCAATCCGCCATCCGTCCGCCAGATTGGCGGATTGAAGAAAATCAATCCGCATCCGTCCGCCAATCCGGCGGATGTGGATTGAGCGGATTGGCGGTTTGGCGGATGGATGCGAATCGGTTTGGCGGTTTAAAATTTTATAAATTTTCAACATAATTCAACTTGTGCACTTCCTTAAAAAAAAAAGAAAAAAAAATATTACAGTCAATGACTTAAAAAAGTATTACAATCACTGTATGCCTTATCCAAAGAAAGAAAGTTTGAAACTTTAGAATATCACGATCACTGTATGCTTCATCCACATATTACAATTACAGCATGATTCATCCCTATAAAGTATTACAATCTGTGATTCTTAAAATATAATAACAATTCAAACCACCAAAACCATAAACAGAGCAGTAGTAGAGATTGAATGTCTCTATATTGTTACATCTACATATGTTTTTGAAAACAAAAACCAACCAGCATATATCATATTTTTTATTTATTATTTTTAGAGTTAGATTTAAAAACTAAAAAATATAGATGAATAATATGTTTATTTTTTTCAATTCAAAAATATATTCAAGTTGAAAACTTGTTTTCAACAAAATATTTAAACTCTTTTTCAATTGAAAACACAAACATAATATTTAAACAAATTGAAAATACAAAGTCTTATAAATTACTACAGGTGCTCGCGATTTGGCGGTTTGGCGGTTCGGTTGCGGCCAAAAAATCTCAAATCCGCCATCCGTCCGCCAAATTGGCGGATTGGAGAAAATCAATCCGCAACCGTCCGCTCATCATCACGCATCCGTCCAAAATGTGGCGGATCGGTTCGGTTCGGTCGGTTTTGGCGGATCGGTATATCCGCTGCTCACCCCTAACTTCCTATGCCTCTGAAAGGTTGGTAAACCACTAGTAAGATAAATATGTTCACGGGATTGTTGTGAAAGTGCTTACTTGAGCCTAGGTAATGAGGCTTGTCCCAATATCTGTGCGACTTCCCACTCATACCAAGTCTTTGAAATCCTCATTAAGGTCCGGTTTAGTGTTAGTTTTTTAGGGCTTCTTATAATTATATATATATATATATATATTTTGAATATTTGTGGTAGAATATTTAGTGTAACTTGCTTACAAGGCACATGTGACTTGTAGGAGAAAACGGGATTTGAAACCGATTTTCAATTTTGAATTTAGAGCTTAATTTTCCGTTTTTATGAAAACTTGTTCTTTACAAACTCTTTTTCGATCCGATTGACATACTAAAATGCTCAAACGGTATCGAATGTCAATGAAACTTGACACACGACTAACTAGGCAAAAGCAACTTGTAGGAGAAGACAAGACTCGAAACTGATTCCCAGTTTTTAATTTAGAGTCTAATTTCCGTTTAAGAAAACTTATTCCTTATAGACTCTTTTTCAAACTGGTTGACACACTAAAATGCTCAAACGGGCTCGGATGTTAACGAAATTTGACACACACAACATACTAGACACATGTGACTTGTAGGCGAAGACAGGACTCGAAACCCATTTCCGGTTTTAAATCTAGAGCCTAATTTCTATTTATGAAAACTTATTCCTTACAAACTTTTTTTCGAACCGGTTGACACACTAAAATGCTCAAACGAGCTTAGATGTCAACGAAACTTGACACATACGACATACTAGACACAAGTGACTTATAGGAGAAGATATTGGAGCTTACAATCTTATTTATGTATTTATTTATTTATTGAAATAAATGTCCAATGTTTTATATTTTCTATAAGCTTGAAATTAAGTATATTGTAAATGATTTTTTTTGTTTTGTTGGTTTCTTTTTGCAGATGCAACCCTTTGAATGCGTGATGATATCTTCGCATGCCGATATTGCAGCTTACAATCTTTTTTGTATTTTTTTATTTTTTGAAATAAATATTAAATGTTTTACATTTTCTGTAAGTTTGAAATTAATTATATTGTAAATGATTTTTTTTTGTGTGTGTGTTTCTTTGTACATATGCAACCCTTTTTGAGTACGTGATAATATCTTCGCATATTGATATTAGAGCTCATTGTTGATATTAAAACAAACTATAATATATATGTTTTTGTATTTGCATTGTCAGTACTTTTGTTTTGCTTTATATACAAAAATTTAAGTTCTTGAATATAAAAATTTATTAATATTGTTGGAGAATGTTTTATATATTTTAGTAAAGAATATTTGGTTGATAATTGTTATAGGGTACATATATACGTATAATTTTGTGAATGTGAGTGTGAATGTGGATGCATTTTATTTTAAGGAAAATGCGGGCGACCCCCAGCCCACGTGGCTGTGGGTGATTGGCAGGAAAGAAAGAAAGAAAAAAAAAAAAAAAAAA